TATTTTCTGGTATGTTCAGACTTTCAAGGTTTATCTGGTATATTTCTACTCCCAGCCCTAGAAACATTCATTTCTCCAAGGAGTTCCTTTCACTGGAAAATAGAATTAGAAGTGAAGATCTGGGGCTGCATAGATAGCATAAAGGGCAAGGGGCTTTGCGCACAGCTGACTCTGGTATGATTCCCAGCACGGACAGAGATCGCCACTGTGTAGAGCCAGTGTGAGCGCCGAGGAACACTGAATATAGTCCAAAAAACACAAAAGAAGAAAAAAAAACCAAACAAAGGCCAAAATCTCCACTGTATGTTAACTGTAGTGGGGTACAGACTCTTTCTAAACATTATCATTTGGGTTGGAGCAATAGTAGGGCGTTTGCCTTGCATGTGGCCGACCTGGGTTTGATCACTGGTATCCCATATGGTCCCCGGAACACTGCCAGAGGTAATTCCTGCCAGAGTGCAGAGCATCGCCAGGTGGACCCCCAAAGAAAAACAAATAAGTAATAAATATTATCCCTCACCCCTAATTTTGGCACATCAAAACATGGTAATCGGAGGTCAGGGAGAAAGCTCAACAAGCTGGAGTGCACACTTTGCACGAGTGTCCCGGGTTCAATCTCCTGCATCAAATGGTCCTATAACCAACTGCAGGATAACACTGTCGGCGTGGTAAGATTTTACAACCAACCACCAGGGAGAGCCATCCCCAAGCAGTGAACTAGGAGATGCCCGAGCACTGTCAGAGACAAACCCCCAACCAAAAAGAAAAGAAAAGAAAGAAACTGGTCATGCCCTTTTCTTAGGCTGTATAAAATAACGGATAACCTGAAATGGAAGTGAATCCCTCCCTATAGAGGATCCATATCTGTTTAGATATAATCAAGCAGAGAATGATAGGTCTTAGGAAATGCATCTTTCAAATGATGAAATAGTACTCAAAATATTTCAACAAGTTGGTAACATGAAAATTGTCGAAGTTAACCAAGAACTTGAAACTTCAACCAAGGCATGGAGGCAGGGGGAGGGTGGGAAATGGGGGGTATACTGGGGATATTGGTGGTGGGGAATGTGCACTGGTGAAGGGATGGGTGTTTGATCTTGATCATTGTGTGATTGTAACCCAAAAATGAAAGCTTGTAACTATATCAAGATGATTGAATAAATTTTTTTTTAAAAAAAAGAAAGGCAAAAAAAAAATAGTGATTTCACTTTAGAAAAAAAAAAAAAACCAAGAGTCAAAACATTTAAAGGAGAAATAAAAACTATACAAATAGCGTGATCCCAAATAGTGACTTAGGTGCACTTAACCAATGATTATGACAAATTCTTCTAGGAAAAGCAGAAGTACAAAAAACTCGAAAACTCAGGCTGTGCTGATTTGAATGGCAGTGGTTAAAGAATAATTCTGTCACCAAACAGGAGGTAAAAATCTACTTTGATGATTTAGAACTTAGAACAGGATCAAAATATTCTCACTTAGGCTGGTGGGGGGCAAAGTTTTGATGTTGAAGGGAAACCCAATAGCTGTTATGACAAATGCAAGATCCACATCCTCCTACTGATAGGCTGAATGCAGTAACAATGAGGTAACTGGAATAAGATCTTCCTGAAGATTGTTAGGGAGTATTAATAGAAATTAATATTCCCAAGGTCTTTCTTTCCTGCTTTCAATGACTATAACATTGCATTTAATAAATTGGCGATCACACGCCCCAAAAGATTTCTTCAAATTTAAATGAAACTTCAAATGAATCACTATCACTTAATCACTTAACTTCCCGTTAGTCGTCGATTTGCTCGAGCGGGCACCAGTAACGTCTCCATTTGTCCCTGTCATGTGCTAGTGTAGCCCAATGGCATCTGTTCGCTCCGTGAACATGAAGGGCCTCAAACCGATCGTTCATGATCTTGACAAAGAAGTCTGACCATCTGGTAGGTGGGCGGCCACGCGGTCTTTTGACATCCCGTGGAATCCAGTCAGTAACAGCTCTAGTCCAGCGGTTGTCTTTAAATCTCATTACGTGACCAGCCCATCTGATTTTCGACACCTTGGCAAATGAGACAGCGTCCCTGATTCTTGATCATCGACGGATGTCAGAACTCCGGATTCTTTCTCTCATTTGAGTGAAACGTGATATTACAAGCATAGCTCTTTCTATTCTTCTTTGGGAGACCTGAATAGCGTTCTCATCCTGTTTGCGTAGGGCCCAGGTCTCTGAGGTATATGTTAATGCAGGAAGAACAGTGGAATCAAAGAGATGTGCCTGGAGCCAGAGGTTCTTCGTCCTCTTAGCTATTGCTTCGACGTTCTTGAAGGCATTCCAAGCCGCTCTCTTTCTCCTGCGCAGCTCGGGTGCCAGGTCATTTGTCATGTTGACTTCTCGACCTAGGTACACATAGCTGTTGCTTTCGGAGATGGTCGTTCCGTTGAGAGCGAATGGGGCGTCAGGAACAAGGCTGTTTCTCATAAACATTGTCTTCGTTTGATTCAGCTGTAGTCCTACCTTTCCACACTCACGGTCAAAGTCGGCTAGGATTTGTGCCGCTTGGCTGATGTTTGGTGTTATTAAAACAATGTCATCAGCAAAGCGGAGGTGGTATAGTTGCCGACCATCTATCTTCACTCCCATTCCTTCCCATTCCAGTCGTCGCATGATGTTCTCGAGGGTGGCACTGAAGAGTTTCGGTGAAATGGTATCACCCTGCCAAACCCCTCTCTGGACATCAACGATCACTTCTTTGTAGAATGGTGAGATCCTGGTAGTGAATCCGCAATACAGCTCACGGAGGATCCTGATGTATTGGGCTTGAATGCCCTGATTGGCTAGGGCTTCAATGACCGCTTCCGTCTCAACAGAATCAAAGGCCTTCTTTAAATCAATGAACGTTAAACAGAGCGGCATCTTGAACTCCTGAGAAACCTCAATGAGCTTGGTTATCGTGTGGATATGGTCGATGGTGCTGAATCCTTTGCGGAACCCGGCTTGCTCGCATGGTTGTCCTTCATCTAGTGTTCTGCCAATCCTATTTAGGATGACTCGAGTGAACAACTTGTAGATGACAGACAATAGGCAGATCGGGCGATAGTTGCCAATGTCATGGATGTCTCCCTTCTTGAACAGTAGTACGGTCCTGCTGGTTTTCCACTGGGACGGAACCTTGCATTCAGACAGGTAGCGAGTGAAGAGCCGAGCCAGTGTATTGATGAGTACTGACGGCAGGTTCTTCAGGTGTTCAGGTCTGACCTTGTCTGGGCCAGGTGCTGTTTGTTTCTTTACTGACGAAATGGCGTGTCGGATTTCGGAAGGGAGAACGTTGGGAACGACATATCCATCCTGTGGAATTTGGTATGTCGGCAAATGGACATGGCTATCGAAGAGATTTGAGTAGAAGTCATGGATAATCTTCTCCATTGCCGTTCTGGAGGATGTGATGGATCCATCAGGACGTCGGAGGGCAGTCATCTTGGTCTTGTAGTTGGCAAAGGACAGGCGGGCCTTACGAATACTTTTCCCGGCTTCTGCCGCATCTACCAGTACTTCTGCTCTTCTCTCTTTGAGGTCTTCCTTGATCGCATCTCTGCACTGCTTTGCGAGCTCGGACGTTAGCTTGCGGTTGCCTGCAGCATACGCCAAACCACGCTGGTGAATTAGCTCAAGAGTTTTCGAAGACAGGCGTTTTTTTGTGGCTATCTCTCTCTTGGCGTTCCTCGCACATTCATGGAGGTGATGAACCAGTCGATTGTATTCCTCGTCAATGTTGTCAACAATGGCATTCTATCACTATAGAATTAACTATAAAAATCCCCTTCTGTCTTGTTTGTCCCAACTCATGCCTTTCTTTTATATCATCAGTCATAGGACTCTTATCATGGTAATGAAACCCAAGTGCTACTTAGGGGGAACAGAGAAGCCATTAGAATGAGTTGCTTTTAGAGAATTAAAGGCCACTAGAAAGTAGGAGAAACAGATTCCAGAATACTGTTTGGGAAGAACCAGGGGTGATGATCATGCCTTTGGTCCATGATCCACTTGTTCAGAGATCACAATGGCCAAAGCAAACAAAAGCTGCCGAGGACTTTTCCTTGGCTTTGTTCTGTTTTAAAATTAATATGTTACAACAGCATAGTTGTGGAGTGTGGGAAGAGATCATATACTTTCAAAATACAGCTATTCCTCCCTCCAGCTTCTCCTCTGGCAACCTGAACTGCAATTGACATTTATCTTTAATTTTCCTGAAGGACATGGTCACTTTATAACAACAGACACAATGAGCTGTTACTCTAACACGAATCTGTTTTGCTCTCCAAAAGCACAAAACCTTTATTGCTGCCAATCTTCGAAGTACCTCATTTCTCATTTTACTTTGCTGTAAATCCCGACTGCCTCCTGATTCTGATCCCCTTTCCACAACTCTGTTTAAATACGAGTTATCAACAAGCACAAGAAGCTGTCACTTGGGTCACGAGGGAAAACAAATTCCTATTGCCTCACTAGTCAACTCCCCACTTCCTTTCTTCCTTTCTGGTATCATTTACTTGCCCTCCTGGCTTGACAGCCCTGTACTGTGCTTGTACTGATCCAGAGACCCTGGGGAAAGTTTTTTCGGGGTCAGAGGAAGACAAGCATACCTTTGAGGGGGAAGGCTCTGAGGAGCAAAGACAGAAGCAGAAGCGAAGCTAGTTCCTTCTTGCCTAGCCTGTTCTTTAAGACCGAGCCCCACTCATAAATCACCGTAGAATTAGGAGGCAGCTCGTGTTTGAAAGCACAGATTCTGGAGACAGATATGCCCTGTCCTGCCAACTTTCTGAACATGTGGCTAGAAGCTACTAACGCTCCAAGAGCAGCTTCCTCGTTACTCCCAAGGAAGAACAGGGACTATGTTAATGATGCTGAGGACAAATAAGATGATGTCCAGTGATGATGCCCAGTGGACATACTATTTGGGGATACACATTAAATGGGCCCCACATCAAATCAGTAGCCACAAACATGTACTCACCAGGTGATATAGGCCTGCTTGAACTTGGAGAGGGTGTATAAGGAATTGGGCTAGACACAGTGCGAGGTCTTAATCCTTGTGCAGACATCTCATTAAAATACCTAAGGGGGAAAAGCAGGCAGCAATGAGAGTCACCCCATTGGTAATAGACCTTAAGAACAATTATGAGAAGGTTCACCTCCCAAGGTCAGACTCCCAAAGGTTTAGAAAGTGCTGTAGCTTCGAGACAAACACACAATGAAGGATCAGGGTCACTGCATCACTGATTGGAGAACCCTTCTCTTAAGAGTATAAGAAGTTAAAGAATTGTAATGTTATGGCTCAGGATGAAGGCCTGGCACCACACAACAGCAAGGATGTGGCTTCCCCGCTCCCTGCCTCCCCCACACCAGCTATGCTCACCTCCACTGTCCTAAGAATTACAAACATCACAGGTTTTACTGTCTAAACTTAAACTCTGTTTCAAACTCCAACCCTGAGACTTGATCAAATTTAAGGTGTGTGTGTGGGTGTACATGTGTGTGTGTGATAACATTTGGTAACGTCTATTAAATGGGTTTATTAAAAATCACACACACATTTATATATTCCTATGAACTAGACGTCAAATGTCTGCAAGTTACAAGTCAGACTGCAACAAAGGAAAATGAGCTCAGAACACTCATGACAGGTCCCACTTGACCACACCAAGTCAGCTCTGGCTTTGTCACATTCAACCTGAGTTGCTCCTGGGACAACAGCTTTCACTCTGTGAACAAGCAGAGAAATGTGTCTGAGAAACTTCCTAGTAAGCTATCCTTCACAGGCCCTAGGATGAGGGAATGGTTCATCTTTACCCTGGAAACAGGGTGGTCCTGATATTTAATCAGTTCACAGGAAGAACTTTAACAGCCATATGCTGATTATTGGATGTCCTAAAGTTCCAACCAGGTTCCTACAGCTGCCATGGTCAATCCACCATAAGTCCTTCCAACTCTCTTGAGAGCAATGCAGCATGGTGGCAGCAAGCTGGACTGTACAACCTTGCCATGTACTCCGTCTCCAGGCAGACTGCTGAGACTGCCTCTTGGTGGTTAAGATACAAATATCTTGGGGTTAGAGACATAGGGGTAGGGATAGGGGTAGGGAACATGGATTGCACATGGCATCCTTGGTTTAATTCTTGGTACCACATGGTACTCCAACTCCAATGGGAGTGGTCCTGGAGGTCCCTAAACACTGTTGACTGTCCTAAGTGATCCTTACAGCAGCATATCCACGGACCCTCACATTGAACCTCTGGCACTCCTGGTTGAGAACTGATAGGACTGGCTCTTGAATCCTCTGAGTACCACTAGGGAGCACCCCCTCATGGAGCCCCTTCTCTCCCCCCGCCCCCGCCAAGAAATGTTCTTGAAGACATCTAAAGTGTCTGATTATTGTCTTTCTCCCAAATGGATTATTCTCAGCAAGGAGAGAAGTCTTCATTGGAGAACTAAATTCCACTGGGATAATCTGACCTGAAAAAGCAAAGGCTGATCTTGAGGAGTAAATACTAGTTCACTAACAACAACAAAACAACAAAATTTCAGTCTGAAGCTAGAAGTAGCTTCAGTGCTGTCACCATGGAAGCACCATCCCTGAGCGCACCTTCCTCCCAGCAGAGGAGGAAGGGGTACAGGGCTCGCTGGCTGGCACGGTCAGCTGGTGTATCAAGGCAGCTAATGGGTCTCTGGGATTCGAGCACATGGATCCTGTCAAATGCTTTGGAGAGGGTAAGAATTCTGGAGAGAATTAGACCCTGTCAGAAAGAGATCAGTGAAATTGAAAGTCTGATAACACAAACTCCTCAGAATAATCTTCCGTCTTTGCAAAGGACGAGGCTATGTATAAGATGCTTCTCTAGCTATTTAGATAGCCTCCTTGTTTATCCAATATTTTAAATCGGATGACCTACTGTTTCACTTTTATGAATGTTTTTATTGTACAAATAGATTCTAGAAATGCTTTCTGAAATGTTTCTTGAAATGTTACTACCACTGTTCATGGTCAATGCATCTATCCAGTAAGAGAAACCAGGTGCTGCTCTGCTAACACTGCCCTCATTTCCCAGTGGTAGGCTTTGGCATTATTAGCCTGTACCACTCATCACCATCAATAGCAGACCCTGGTCAAACCATGGCTGCTGTGTCCTGTGGGAGAGACCCCCCAAAAGGTGGGATTTCACCTCAACAGTGACCACATGAGACCAAGGCGTCCCTGATCTAGACGAGGAAAATTGCTCCGCAGAAATGGTGTGGTTCAGAGAAAGGCTAATTTCCTAAGTTCTGCCCTTCTCTGCAGGTTGAACAGTGTTTTCAATTTGCATTTATTGCTTGTGTTAATTCACTCACTCCTAAGGAAAATAAACAAAATGGGTGGTGGGGTGTGGGGTGAACTAGGAACTCTGCAGGTGGGTAGGAAAAATCTGGATGAAAGGAAAATGCTTTCACCATTTCTTCTAGATGTCCAAAGAATGATTCTAGTTTCAGTCTTGGTGCAACAACAGAAAAGACTTGATTGATGATGAGGCTTGAGCAGATAAATGCATTGTACTCATCTGACGTTTAAAAATGAACAGGAAAAAAAAAAGCTCAAAAGTTATCCAGCATGCTAAGGGAAGACTTTTGGCTGTCACTTGCACTTCCCACCATCCCATCTGCTGGTTCTTCAATTTCTGTCTGAATTTGTTTCTTCTGGCTGTATTAGCGTTGACTTATCCAAGCTCTGAATTAGGGTATTTGTAGGCTTTAAACTGACAGAACAGGGACTGGAGAGATAGCACAGTGGGTAGGGTGTTGGCCTTGCACGCAGGCAACCCAGGTTCAATTTCCAGCATTCCATAAGGTCCCCTGAATACCGTCAGGAGTAACTGCCGAGTGCAGAGCCAGGAGTAACCCCTGAGCATTGCTGGGTGTGACCCAAAAAGCAGGGGGAAAAAAAAAGAACATAGGTTTATACTAATTCAAAAGCAAATGCATATTCTGCCTCTGCATACAACCTCAACTCCCATTCTTTGCCTCTAAATGATTTGAAAAGCAGTATTTTTTTCCTTTCTTGTGTTCATTTATCTCATTCTCAGTGTCTACTTAGATGGGATGTACTCGTAATCGGGGAAAAATAAATGTTTACGCTAACTCCGTCCAGGAATTGTGATGGAGGCATCCCAGAGCCTAGGTTTTTGTGGTTACTTGCTGGTGTTTTTGCAAACAAGGTCTATTAGCCAAGTACATACCTTTCGTCATCCATCTCCAGGCTGGACTCACTCTCGGAGAGCTGCCGGCAGAGGGCCTCTCTCCTCTCCATCTCCCTCTGCAGCTTCCTCTGCAGCCTCAAGTTCTCTTCCCGCATGTGACGTTCTTCCTCCAGATACTGTGCCATTTTCTCTGAATCTGAAAAGTGGGAGTTCTCAGTCAGAGTTGCATGTAACTGTATGTGAATCCCGGCAGAGAAGACTGCAGTTCCATTCCAAGCAAGACAAAGGAACCAGGGCCTGACAGTGCTTCTCACCCCGACACCAATGAGGTCTCCTTTTTTGTTTCTTTTTCTTTTTGGGTCACCCCCTGCGATGCACAGGCATGACTCCTGGCTCATGCCCTCAGGAATCACTTCTGGCGGTGCTCAGGGGACCATATGGGATGTTGGGAATTGAACTCGGGTCCGCCGCATGCAAGGCAAACACCCTACCCGCTGTGCTATTGCTCCAGCCCCAGTGAGGTCTCTTTCTAACGTTTACTCCACATGTCAAAGGTTACCAACAAGATACATTCAGAAAATACAAAAAGCATTGAGAGATGAAGCATTTTCACTCTCAATTTATATGGAAGAAGAAATTAAAGGATTGAACTTTAATTTTAATTTGAATAGAGCTCTCTCTACATTGCAAGAGGAACAAGGGAGGTGTGTGTGTGCCGGGGGTGGGGGGGGGGGGGTTGCAATAGGACCAGCCAGCCTCAGGCTCCTTCTAGGCACTAAGTCTGAGATCCTCAATTTCAGACAGCCATTGAGAGAAAATGTCACACTTGCTCATACACCCATAGTGCACTGTGATGGAGAAGGCAGACCGGGAACCAATGGACCAGAAGACCTACTAATGGTTATGCCTTTTTCATAAAATAGAAATTGACACTGTGTGCCTGTGTCACTTTTAGGAAATTTCAAGAAAGGATAATCTTTGGTGTGCTGGTGACTCTGCTTCCCTGCCCAGGCACAGTCTCTCTGATTCCTACGGCAGGCCAGAGTTCAGATAACACTCTTGAGTTGCCTCTGATGACAAATACCCCTCCCTGAGGTGCTGCCCCTCAGGTCGGGATCTCTCAAGCTAGAGATGACCAAGCTCTGGGGCTCAACTTGACCCAGCACAGCCAATCAGGTGGCAGTGTGGAAAGGACATCCTCAGAGGGCTCTGAAGTCTTGCTCTGCTTAAGGTTCCTAGAGCTGTGACAAACTTTGGCCTTTTGAGCTTCTTCTGTGGGATTCATTCATTAGTGGCAAAACACCCCATCTGAATTCTCTTCTGGTTTACTTAGGACAGAATAGTTACTAAGTAACCAAAATAACCCTGAAACAAAGTTTAGTAGTGTCTCCCCTTCTTCACTAGTTCCTGTTTCTGCCAAATAACAGGTTACTGCTGCAGTCCAGATTTCAGAAAGAAGGAAGGGTGCAGAATGTCACAACTGACTCTGTCTCTCCCTTCACGAACTGATCCTACTTCAAAACAACCAAGTCCAAGAAGTTAGCTTCATTTTTTTAAATACTTTTATGAAATTTACGGTTTTTAGCAGATGTCTCTTTAATAGTCCATGATTTCCAAGGCAGCTTTAGTACAGAATATCTCAAAGTTCTTAAATAACCTTATTGTAGAAATTCAAATAAAGACACCAAAATTACTAAACACTATTATGTGCACAACACATTAAATTCCTCAGTTGTTTTCAATATAGCCAGAAACCCTGCTGTCTAATCCAGATGCAAAAAAATCTCTTTAATTGAAGGCATGCTGGGAAAATATTTACAAAGTGCACTTTTATTATAAACGATTGAAATTATTTCATCTCAAATATGCAAGCGCACATTTTTCACTAGCTCTACAGGAAGCACTGGATTATTTGTTGTTTCTAGAACTAGAAGAGAGGCTGTCAGTTCAGGATGCCGCCTTTCTTTTGGTAAATGTGAACACTTCAAAGAACAGAGATTCATGAAGCTTCAAGAATAATTGAAGAGGAGATATCATCTTTCAAAGGAAATGGCAATCTGTTAGCCTCTGGGGAAATCATCAGGGGATCCTTAAACAACAATCTATAGAAAAGAATGTCAGTCACTAGGAGTGATAGCCAGAAGACTGTGTTCCACAACTCACCCAGCACACAGACACCTGGTGGAAGGCATGAGGCCCAACTCCCCTGAGTGTCACGCTGGCAGCGATGGCTGACATCACAGCGTCCCTGAGATGCCCTCAACTGGCACACGGACCAGGCCCGATTTCCAGAGACTGGGTTTACTTGCACCAGTGAGCCTCTTCTCTAACAGTTTCTTAGGGCTTAGGGGAATAAACTTGTTTCCTCCATCACCAGCCTTCTTGCAATATTTAGTCAAGGATACTGTCAACTATGGGTGACCTCCAGGCTAACTCAAAAAAAATGGTTCCCAAACAATGAAGAAGTGGCCTAAACACCTTAGGTTCCCTTTCAAGTTTACAGGTAGAACACAGCAATGTCCGCACCCCTCTCAAACCAGGCAAACCCCAGATTCTGGGGAGGAGGCCTCTCAAGTATAGTAAAAACATCCTAAGATATCCTAATGTTCAGCCAGAACTGAGAACAACTGGAAGAGAGGCTCAGGTTCATATAAAGTTGAACCTGGAGGCACTGGTCATCGGGCATATGGAGACTGAGGCTGATGAATGAAGAAAAGTCATCCGGGGGTATACTGGGGACACGGGTGGTGGAGAATGTGCACTGGTGGATGGACGGGTGCTTGATCATTGTATGATGGAAACTCAAACATGAAAGCTTTGTAAATGTATCTCATGGTGATTCAATATATTAAAAAAAAAAGGAAGAAGTAGGAGGAGGTAGGAGGAAGGGAAGCGGGGGGGGGGGGAGGGAGGGAGGAGGAGAGGGAGGCGGGGAGGAAGAGAAGAAGAAAGAAAAAAAGTCATCCAAATCAAAGCACAATTTCTGCTTCCTTGATTCAGTTTCCTCCAACCCAATGAAAATCAAAATAGTTGGGGCTAGAGCAATAGTGGAACAGGTGAGATGCCCCCTGCGATCCTCTGAGCACTGCCTGAAATGATCCGAGTGCAGAGCTAGAAAGGCCTGAGCTCCACTGAGTGTGGCTCCAAAACAAAAGATCTACAGGACCTCGCTTCATCCCTAGAGCCATCCCAGAAATCTGCATGGGTTTCAAGAAGATAACAGGTTCCCATAGACATCCACATCCCCACTATATCACTGTATCACTGTCACCCCGTTGTTCGTCGATGTACTAGAACGGGCACCAAATCCACATTACAGTCTCTAAAAAATGTGACATATCTTATCTTGCACAGCAAAAGGGAATTTTGCAGTGATTTGAACCTATTATGAACCTAGAGATGGTGCATGGGCTGAATGTAGAGACAAGGTGACAAAAGCGAAAAAGAGACATGATGGGGTGGGAATGACACCTATGTATTGAATGAATGAACTCAGTCAGTTTCCAGAAGCTGGGAAAAGCACTAAGACAAATTCTCCAGGTGAGCCTTTTATGAGAAATCAGCCCTAAGGTTATCCGGATTTTAGTCCTTCAATTTTGAAGACTTCCATAAAAGCAAAATCATGAATCTGGGTTGCATTAAGTTACTAAGTTTTGGATGTTTTGTTCTAAGCATGCTCTTGATCCCAGAGGCACTACTGGATTAGAATCTGCAGTAAACTTCAAGGAATAGAATAGCTTTGTAACTTATGGTGATTCAAGAAAAAAAAAAAAAACTAAAGAAAAGAAGAGGAGCTGGAGAAATAATACAAATAATACAGTGAATAGGGTGTTTGCCTTCTACACAGCCAACACTGGCTCAATCCCCAGCATCCCAAATGGTCCCTCAAGCACCACCAGAAATAATCCCTAAGTGCAGAGCCAGGAGCACTGAACAGAGGGGCCCCAAAACAACAATAATTAAAAAAGAAAGAAAAAAGAAAAAAAGAAAAGAAAGCATAAAAATAAGAATCCTTTTGGTCGGAGCCATAGTACAGTAGGGAGGGTGTTTGCCTTGCATGCAGCCCATCTGGGTTCAGCCCCTGGCATCCCATATGATCAGCCAAGCACTGCCAAAAGTAATTCCTGAGTGCAGAGTGAGGACCACTGAGGATAGCCAGGTGTTACCCCACCCCACCCGCCCAAAAAAAGAATCCCTGAAATTTTAAATGTATGTTCTATTTGACCTAGCAACCGCGCTTTCTGGAATTCATCTTGAAGTTGTTCTTTGTTCTTGCACAGGTATCAAACATATCCAAGTGTATCTACAGTAATGGTAATTGTGGTTACTTAGCTAAAAGAAGTTCATGTATCCAATTCATAAATCTGGAAAAATATCACAGTCAGTCACAGTCCTCCCATTGTTCATCGATTTTCTCGAGCGGGTCCAGTAACGTCTCCATCGTGAGACTTTTTGTTGTTACTGTGTTTGGCATATTGAATACATCATGGGTAGCTTGCCAGGATTTGCCGTGCGGGCGAGATCCTCTCGGTAGCTTGCCAGGCTCTCCGAGAGGGGCGGAGAAATCGAATTATTATTTAGTAATAAATATATTAAAATATTAAAATAATATATAAATATATTAATATGTATAAATATATTAAAATATATTAAAATAAGTAAATATATTAAAAAATAAGTAATTCTAAGAACGGGGTCAGGGATCAGAAGTGAGAGGAAAAAAATTGGTTTTCTCCCTCTAGCTCTTACTACGAATTTATACGAACAAATTTGAGCCTGGAAGTAGAAACAAGAGATAAGCAACTGCACAGAGACTTACATGTACAGAAACCCAGTTCCTTTGCCAACTCAATACCTTAATTTCTCTGAAACAATAAGCATAAATTTCAAAAGCATGTATGCTTCAAGTGTCAAGAGCAAGTGTTAGCTCCTATTTAGGAGGAAGGAAAACAAACACTCTTCCTTGCCACAAGGTTCCAGAGAGCTCACTGAGTCTCCTGCCTCCTAGAAGTCAGCACACTTCTAGAGAATAACACAGAGAAGAAGTTTTTAAAAACCTGTATTTCTGAACCCTCCTGAAATTATCTGAATTAATTTTCTATTTCAGTCACCTGCATGAATTATTTCCCCTGCTTTACTATAACACTTTGAAGACATAATCGACCCAGGATGATAGACATGTAGATATAAATGTGCATTTGTGACTAATGTACTGATTCTACAGAGAGAAGACCAGTAAACCCGGAAGTTACGTACGTTGTAACTGTGCGGCTCTCAGTTGTTTCTTCAGCCTCTCCACCTCATTCTTTAAAAACCTGATGTGACGCATCATGTTTTCTGGAGAGTCGATCTCCATGGAGATGTCTCTAGGTGATGGGGGAGCAGAGACAGGCTGGTCTAATTTTTCCTGCAGAATTCTTCATGAATTAAAAAAAAAATCCAACAATAAAAAGGGTTGCCTTTAAAAGACAAATCAACATACTATCTAGAGGGTTTAACAGCTAAGCTCCTATTAAAAGTTAGAAGTCACAGGTTTGCTAAACACTTCTAATTGGTGATCTTGACTTTTGGTCACCTATAGCTGGTTAATGAAGTCGTTCACTTAAGTGACTACTGATTCTGAACATTATCAAAAATATCTCTTATAATCAGACCTCCAATAATTATGTCTGGAAAATATCAGTTACTCAATTACCTGCTGAATTTGATAATGGAATTTGATTACACATTTTCATTTTTGAGTTCCCCTCTCTGGAGAGAAATACAGCATAAAGAAACATGGCTTCTAAAATTTCCTCTTAAAAAAAAATCCCTTTTCTTTCTATCAACAGCAAAGGAAAAAGATTTTTTTTTAAGAAAATTAAAATGATTGGGTTAATAATTGATGGTTCGATTATTACTCTTTTGAACGATGTAAAATACTTTTACATTCAGTAACTCTTGACCTATAAACTGAAAACAGCCAATCTGCGCAATGTAATAATTTGGTATTAATATACATAAAACTTCCAACTGAGTTCTCACAGGAAGGATGATGCCACAGAGCTCTACAACCCTTTTTAGGGGGATCTGGGTAGTTTTGGTTTTAACTTTCTACTTTTGAATCTGCCTAAGTTCAAACTGTGAATTCCCTTTAGGTCTGCTCTTTCTGAGAATAATAGTATGTTAAGTACTGTAATAGTCCTTACACTTATCACAATCACTAGTAAAGCTATAATAATGCAAATTAGTACCACCTCAATGATACAAAACATAGTTGAACACTAATTTTAATTGCAGGGAGGATCCCAACAATTATATGATTGCTTCATTTTTCTTAATGCTTACATCTATATTTTGTTATTCTAGAGATGAATTTTTAAAACTTCATATTTATTCAGATCAGATACTTATAATGAAAAAAGTTGGGCAAGCAAGAGATCTTGATAAAGTAGATTTATAAATATTTTCAAGAAACTCCCTTTCTATACCTATCACATACATACTGTATACTGAACACCTCTCTGGTTTTCTTCAAACTCTGCTCTATGTACCCAATTACCCAGAACCCAAAAAAGGTCCTGACAGTATCTTGCACAAAGTCAAGAAATGCTTGCAGTTAAATAACATCTCACACCCAGGTACATATACTAAACACAAAGAATTCTAGTCTTCAAGACTAGTTTATCTTTGGTTTTAAAGCATACTAATTTTTCTATTAATAGCTCAGCTTTCCTAATGAAGTACATTCTAGACCAGTGTAATAATACTCCATGATAAATATCCTAGGTACTTCAGAAAACAAGCAAGCAAGCCAATTTAATACGATGAAAAACTGAAAATATAATAATCTTTTAGAATAATTCAAAGGTGTACTATAGCACCTTAATTAGCTCTGTCACAGCCTGAAAAAAAATTCTACTAGGGCGACTAGAAAAAAAATAAAGAAGGGCCCTATTAATAATGGCATCTATTTGAGAAGACTTCTCAATTTTCAAATTTAAGCAACATGCATTGGCCAATGAATTAAACAGTCCCTTTGATATACCTCAGTCACACCCCAAGAAGAACCACAGCCTCACCCCACACCCATACCACACACACACCCAGACTGAACAGCAAGGCTAAACAAACCGCTTTTCAGCTTCAAGTTTATCCATCCTTTTCCAGAGACGATTAACTAGCGCTTCCTGTTCTTGTTCCAAAGTATTTTCAAGGTCTATCTTCTCTCGTCGCAACTAAAGGAAGAAAAAAATGTTTCACTGAGCAACAGCAGCCACATCCACTTCAACTCTGTTAATCAGATTTTCTGATGGAACCAGTAGAACAGTGAGAGAAAACTGGGGAGGAGAAAAAAGGGCAATTTTCTTAGCTGGAGTAAACTGGGGAAGGTAGGGGGAGGGAGTTGGGGGAAGGGCAATTTTCTGGCACAAACACATTAATTGCATCTAGTTTTGAGACTTCAAGAAAATCACGACAGGTTCAATTTTTTTTTAATGCTGAAGTTTAATTTTTGCCCAATAAATGAATTACTTAGCTTGACTGGGCATTTAATCAAGGCACGAGCAAAGTCTTCTGTAAGGACGCTTGGGGTGAGATCAGCTTACTAGGACCTATTTGAGTTTGCCTACCACCCCATCCATCCCATCCTCCATAGTGGTCAATATGCCTGATCCACTGGTTACCAAAACAACCAGAAAGGTTATGTTACCATTGCTATCAATAACTCCTAAACACCCGGAGACAATTCTCCACACCGGCTAGCGTGTGCTCAGAAATATTACTGACAATATAAAAACATACATGCAAATGACAAACACCAAATTCACAATACTGGTTACCTCTGGGGCTGAGGGAAGAAGAAAATTTTATTAGGAGAATGGTACACAGTTAAAGAACCCGAAACTGCATTTTACTTTACTAAAATGAAGCAAACCTGGAAGTTTTCATTTATTCAATACTGAATAATATATAATATAGTATTGGCAAAAATAAAAACCACTGGACACTAGGGCTGTTTGCAGGAAGAGCCAGAAAGGTTTAACCTCATGGAATGTACACTTTGGTGGGTCAAAAGAGTGAATGAAAGCTGGAGGAATGGGTAAAACAGCAGGTAGGGCACTTGCCTTGCATGAAGCCAACTCGGGTTCAATCCCTGGTATCCCATATGGTCCCTTGAGCACAGCCAGGAGTGACTCCTGAGTGCAGAGCCAGGAGTAACCCATGAGTATCACCAGGTATAGCCCCCCACAAAACAAATAAACAAAAGAGAGTGAATAAGTTATATACTTTGGTAGGGGGTGAAGAAGGAAGGAAGGAAGGAAGGAAGGAAGGAAGGAAGGAAGGAAGGAAGGAAGGAAGGAAGGGAGAGAGGGAGGGGGAGGGAGGGAGGGAGGGAGGGAGGGAGGGAGAGAGGAAGGAAGAGAGGAAGGAAGAGTAAGGTAGAAAGCACAATGACGATTTCACAGTGATGGGTAAATGGCTGAAATCGTCTCCTTCACTCTTTCTACTTGTATGTTTTTGGTATTAAGTTTTTTAAAACTTTTTTTTTTAAAGAGAAAGATAGTATTACTGTTCCTATGTTGTCTTTATTACCAACAACCATTTAAGTTTCTGGTTACTATTTTAGGGAAACTCTCAAGCAGTGCTCAGGGGACCCAGGAGTGACTCGCTGCGATCCTCAGCCAACTCGCAACCCAATGGGCTGGATGGTTTAGTGCTCGGGCCCAGCAGAGTGGAGCTGCCTGAATCAGTGGTGCTGAGGGCAACCAGCTCTACACCCAGTGGTGCTTGAGGAACTGTGCTGTGCTGGGGTTCAAACTTGTGTCAAAAAACATGGCAGACATACATAGCTGATCACTGAGCTATCTTCCCCACTCCACAACTGACTTTTCGATCACTGAGTTTATACATGGCCTTTAATCACACAGCTGCAAACTTATCAAAGTAGCAAGTTTCACATTTGCTTAGTCAAAGACGTAAGCCCATCACTGATCAAAGATAGCAATGCAGGAAGCAAGGCGAGATGAATACATACATGCATAAAATGTGGCTCTTTTACGATGATCAACACATCAAATACCAGGCAACACCACAAACATACTTTTATTTTTACGCCAAAAATGTTCCCCTTTCTCAAATTATGTTCAGAGTGATTTTAGTCTCCGGCCACATGAAACTTAGACCGCAAAGAACAGTCAGTACGCCCAATTTCAAGGCGTCCCCAAGAGAGCCCAAAGGACAAAGAGGTTTTCCTGTTGTGACGAGAAGAGCAGACAAAAGGCAGTTCCTGATAGCCGGCAGCGACTCACGTCACGTCGGCCGTCTGGCTGCGAGTAAGTTGTCTGGGAACCTCAACAGCAAGGACCGGGAGGAAATGATGCGACGAGCAAGTCATGATCAGACCTGAGTGTTGGGGGGGGGGGGGGGCGCGAGGAGAAAGTCCTCGAGTGTGTATGTGGGAGCATGTTTTCCCACGATAACGTGGAGCTCTCAGTTTTCATTTTCTCTACAACATCACAAAGACAGTCACAGAAATGAACAGCTGTCTGAGTAAAACACACCCCAGAGCTGTAAGTACGTCTGCAGCCACTATGCTAGCAGACATTCTTATGATCGTGATTTTTTCTGAAAACAAAGCAAACGAAACACAGGCATTTTGGGTCCAGGGTGATAGTACAGGGGTTAAGGTGCTTGCTGGGCATAAGGCTGGCCCATAAATTCAATCCCTTGAATCACATATGGTCCCCTGAGCACTACCATGAGTGAGCCCTGGGCTTACCCCAAATATGCCCACCAAAAATGAAATAAATAAAATCTCAGGTACTTAAAGCACTTGCTCAAGATTTGTGATCATAAAGTCACAGTCACGGTCCTCCCGTTGTTCATCGATTTGCTCGAGCGAGCCCAGTAACATCTCCATTGTGAGACTTGTTGTTACTGTGTTTGGCATATCGAGTACGTCATGGGTAGCTTGCCAGGCTCTGCCATGCAGGCGAGATACTCTCGGTAGCTTGCCGGGCTCTCAGAGAGGGGCGGAGGAATCGAACTCGGGTCGGCCATGTTGGCCGCTTGGAAGGCAAACGCCCTACCGCTGTGCTATCGCTCCAGCCCTAGATCATAAAGTATATGATCAAATACTTTGGGTCAAATACCTGGGCCCAACCTCAGCTCCATCAGTCATAAAACAGAAAACCCTGGGGAGTCCAGAGTTGAGAGCTTACTTATGAAAACAAGAATAAGCATTTGATTATATTAATAAAAGATTTTATTTTCCTTACATAGATTAAAGTCATTTGGCAATCACAAACTGGCTCTTACTCATTTATTTTCTGATCATTCTATTTGCCATTTCTTAAAAGTTGTGTTGGTTCAAATAAGATAAAGTCAGTTTGCTATGTGCTGAAGGGAGCTGGTCAGAGATCAGAGAGAAAATGGAACTCTGGTGGAGGAAAGATCACACTGGTGTTGATGGAACACTAAATATTGAAACAACTGTATAATAAGCAACTTTGTAAATCATGCTGTTAATAAAATGAATGTAGCACTGTAGCACTGTCCTCCCACTGTTCATCGATTTGCTCAAGTAAGGTCTCACAACAAATTGTGAGACTTGTTGTTACTGTTTTTGGCATATCAAATACCTCACGGGTAGCTTGCCAGGCTTTGCCGTGCTGGCGATATCTCGGTAGCTTGCCAAGCTCTCCAAGAGGGGCAGAGGAAAAAAGGAATGTAGCAAAAAAGAAAAAGAAAATGCTGAAGGATCCAGAAAAAGAGTCCAGGAGTTTAGGACCTCGCCTTCCATACAATCAACCCCATGTACGTTCGATCCACAACCTAAGTCCCCTCAGCACTGCCAGGAGAGAACCTCAAGCAGTCAGGAGAAAGTCTTGAGCACAGCTGGTGTGGCCTGAGCTATACCCATCACCCCAAAAGATAGAAAAAACTTGGAAAACTGATTAGCACAACTTTGCTGCTTGAAAATAGGAAGTAAAAGCATGTCTAGTTCTGAATCTGTGTGGAACAGTATAAATACATGACACTTAGCACTTGCTGGGTCCTTGTAAGCTGCTACATTCACTGTCTCTGGACAACAGCTCTGCCTCTTGTCCAGGCCTCTCATCTGCGAAGTCCTGAAGGTTTACTTTCTCGTCTGCTCTGTTGTACCTGCGTCCTTTGCTTCTAGAACTGTCAGGCATGTTATCAATATTAAAAGGAAGACAACTGGCCCCAGTCACTTATATCAGGGCTTCCTAAATTTTTTCCACCGTGGAAAGAGAACTTTTTAAGCAAACCCAGGTATACCTGCATATAAAATAGTTGTTCATGTCAATCATTTACTGGTCAGCAATCATTAAGACATTCAATACATGCTGCCAAAACTTTGTGCAAGTCCCACATTGTTATACCACCGTTTCTCACTCAACTTTTTTCCAGCCGAGATCTCCTTCCAACCTTGTTTCCTTCCTGTGGTTCCCCCTCCCTGACATAATTTTCACCGGTGGCCCTTTGAGTATCTTGGGGGTCCCTGGTTGAGACATGCTGAGTTATACAACTTTGTATGGGGTCACAAACCACAATTTACGAACCCGAGATTTGTTCTAAGGTACACATCATCAAATGAGACACTTGGTTTGCAGTTTCATCTCTCCCAAAATTATTAGACCAGTTCATCAGGAATTCTCTGATTAGCACCACTGAGTAATCTGCCCTCCAGACCCCTGTCATCCCTGTGGGAAAGTGACCTGGCAAAATCAATCCACATTTTCTTAGTCACTGTCACTGTCATCCCATTGTTCATCGATTTTCTTAAGCGGGCCCAGTAATGGCTCCATTGTGAGACTTTGCTGTTACTGTGTTTGGGATGTCAAATACGTCATGGGCAGCTTGCCAGGCTTTGCCGTGGGGCAAGATACTCTCGGTAGCTTGCCGGGATCTCCTTGCGAGAGGGATGGAGGAATCGAACTCGGGTTGGCCATGTTGGCTGCATGCAAGGCAAATGCCCTACCCGCTATCGCTCCAGTGCATTTTCTTAATAACTTCCTTGTTCCTGTTATATTTTTTTCACTTTATATGGCTCCTTGCTATGTGCTAAATGTAAGGTGTGTTTAAAGTGTATTTCGTGAATTTTGCTTTTTTAAATAGAGTCATCTATAAATGTAAGAGACGGCAACCTTATTCAACAAGCGGATGACCTAGCATCACAAAGTCAACTGAAAATCAAACTTCAAAATCAGTT